TGCTAGCAAAGAGTATAATAATATTTCATTTGGACTAATAACTAAATCTATTTGACTAATTAAATTCCTTAATTTAATTATCAAATAATAAGTTAATTAATCCTTTAGCAAAGATCAGAATACTCGTTAGTATGCGACCCCACAGGTTCAATACTAAATCGGTAGTAAATTGATCACATCAATATACTAATCAAGGGTGGCGTCTAGCAACACTCCCTAACAACCGGATAGCATGAAGTATACAATTTACTCTCAAGAACCAGTAGAAGAATAATGTAGTAATTCCTTCTGTCCTTATAGCTCTGGATCACCCTAGGATATGGTTCAACTGTCAAATCCTAATAGGCGACCAACTATGTGTTCATGTCAAATATAATCGACTATTGAATGACCTAAGAAACTCATTTTTTCTTTCATTCAATTGCCCTGACCAAGGTCTTAGTTTGGTCATTTATAATTCATCACAACATGGAGCTTAAACTCATTACCAAGGGTTGACAGATTCCATCTTGATCAATCACTAATTCTACAAGTATTTAATCATACCCAATATCCTTTTCAACTATCGCCCTAGGGCCATAGGTGTCTAGTATCAAAGCACAATAAATAACTTGTCAATTACTATGACGATCTCAGGTCAAAGGAAATTCTTACATCACATTCTTCAAGAAAATATCCTATTGACAGTTTATGGTAATTCTAACCATTAGGAATTATCCAATGAGTCGGTTCAATGATCATATCTCTATATGCATCATCTATCTATGTAATTTAGTTAATGAGATCAACTAATCTTTATCCCATAAAGACGATCACATAAATATTGATCTAACCGGATTACTAATGTCCAAATTAATAATCCTACGATCAAGAACAAATTTAGATTAAATTATAAGAAACTTTACTCTCATTATCATAATCTCCATCACGATGACAAGTCTCAAAATTTAATCAAGGACCTTATCAAGTTAATCAAACAATTAAAAATAACTATGATAAAAGAATATCAAATGCCATATATTTTTATATCAAATAATGTTCACAAAAATATGTTCAAATCATCAAATATGATATTGGATCTAGGGCATATCTACTATATCTCTAACAAACATGTCTCCTGTAATGCTAGGTAACCACAGGGGGGGATTGTCAGTTGGCAAAGCATTATCTTCTGGATGCAATGCAGCTGATCTTGTTATATCATATCTTGAATCCGTCTCAACTGACTCCAAAAGACATTGCTGAAATCTATTTTCTCATGCAGGTAATACTTCATCTCCCTCTCGTTCTTTCTGTCACTAGTTCTACTACATCTGCTGTAGCTGAAACAAAATTTTCCCTTTTCCCCACCACATTCTCTATTTCTCTGTCGAATTTGAGTGTAAGTTGCCTGTGTCCAGATTTTTGACACTTCTTAAATGCTGATTGCTAATTGCATCTCAATCCAAACACTCATTTCCTGCAGCTTTCTAGATTGCTAAAATCGCTTAACTTTATCGCACAAGGTGCAACTTTGACATGTAGCGGAACTTTGACATGTAGCCCACGACACAGCTCAAGCCGCAAATCAGTCCTTCACGGGGAGTTGCATTTCTGCAAAAGGCTCCCCAGACATGGTGACACACTTGTTCTATAGCTCTTACTGATAGATGTGCTGAATCTTCAGCATATTAAAACATAGGCCCTTTTGGCTGCTTTTGTCTCTGATGAAATTTGTAAAATGGTTCCTACCTTCCCCCCCTGCGAGTTGCCTTCTTAACTCTGCGACCATGTTTGTCAATATTTAATCCTACCTCCTCATTATTTTGTGACCATCTAGTTATTATTCATAAAGGTCGGGCACGGTTTATAAAAAAGTGTGGTTCGTGGTATACAACAACAACGATGACCCAGTATAATCTCACAAGTGGGGTCTGGGGAGGGTAATATGTACGCAGACCTTACCCCTACCCCGAAGGGTAGAGAAGCTGTTTCCAGGAGACCCTCGGCTCAATTAACCAACTCTCATGATTTAGTCCTGAATGGTCTAATGGTGAGTGATGAGCTTACTTGCGTGCCAACAGCTAATCTATAGATACTCAAAATTACCCTCTTTAAGCTCGCAAGTTCCTTTGAAGTATGTTCCAATTTAAGAGCAATAACTACTCCCGTCGTTCACTTTTACTTAACATGTATACTAAAAATAGATTTTCATTTTTACTTGTAACTTTACGAGAGGAAGACAATTTTTTTTTCTCTTGTTATATCCACAGTATTTGTTACTCATTTCAAATTATTTTCTTCAAATCTAATAAAATATGCATAAATTAATATGAGTATCATAGTAAATTATGCATTTCATTTATTATTTTTTAAGGAGTGTGAAAAGTCAAAAGTGAACAGACTACTAAGTATTTCGTGGTTTTCAATAAAGGCATGGTCTGTGTAACACGTGACTCCAAAATCGAGATAAAATGGTCCTCCTAGTAATTAGCGAAAATGAAAAGGAGATTATTAGTAGCAGTTTTGTCTTCTGCCCACTTGGGGACCTTGGTATTTGAATAATTTAGTTATTAAGCATTCACTTTTCGTGTTTATTTAAAAAGGAAGAAGATAATATATTGATAATATCTAAAAATTAGATATGTTAATACATTTGATTTTGGTATTTTATACGAGGACGGTCCTAAATCTATTTGTCTTTTGAAACAAATTAGAGGTTCTTTGAACAAGAGTTTTTCTAAATCTCTAAACAAGGTTATTTTGTACACTGTAGAGTATTGCTCCCTCGTGAACTGAATATTCAATAAAAAGATGAAATATATCATACGAATATTGACACCTTTTGATTCCAATTATTTAACGTACCACCCAAATTTCACAAGTAAGTTTTATAAATCTATAAAGTCGGTGGAAACGTCCAAAACCAAATAAATTACAATCCTAGGCATACCCCACTCTCATCATCAATAAGTTCATTCCACTTCTTGATTTAAAAATATTTAAATTTGCTCTTGCGTTTTCTTGAATTGAGTAATTTTGTCTACTGTTACACTCGTCTAAACGGCCTTTTTATCCTCAGAAAATTGGGGTAAGGTCTCCGTACATACTATCCTTTCCAAACCTCATGATATGGGATAAGACTGGGTATGTTGTTGTTGCTACATTCGTCGTCTAATCTTATTTTTGTCATTAGAAAAAAGTAAACAAATTTGCGAACGACAATTGTATGAATGAAATTGATGGTAAATTGAGCAATTTCGAATAATAAATGGGCAAATTAAAACCTTTTCTCTTCCATCTTTGTGGACCTTCAGCTAGAGGTGGGCATATATCGGGTAAAACCGATAACCCGAACCGTTAATTCTTTGTTGGGTTATCGGTATTGAGTTATTGGGTTAACGGGTCGGTAACAGGTTAATTTTTTTTTTATTGGGTTATTGGTTCGGGCTCGGTTTGCATTTTTGTTATTGGGTAAAAATCGATAACCCAATAAGAATGATGTAATTTACTAATTTACCCTTAAGTATATACTAGGGTTATTTATTTTCCTAATTCCCTCTTCACTTTTCAGTCTTCACTCTAATCGTTTATTTTCCTAAATAAAGTATATAATTTACCATAATACTCATATTAATTTGTCCATAGTCTTAATAGATTGGAAAATGAGTAATTAATACTAAGGGCAAAACAGAAAAAATAAATTATTTTTTTCTTTATATGTGAAAAGTGATCAGTCAAAATAAAAATTTATTTTTAGTAAACGTGACAATTAAAAGTGAACGGAAGATTATTTGTTTATTTGTTATCATTGTATGTTGTGATTACAGCTTCTACTTTTGGACAAACGTAAAAAGCCATTTAATGTTAAAACCCAAATGAATAAAGTAGTTAAAGAACACGACACCCACCTACCCTCCTTCACTCTATCTTTGTTTTTTTTTTCCATTTTTTTAATTACTCCCTTCGTCTTATGTTATCAATCGTGGTAATTAAAAATAGTCATATCAAATTATTTGTCACTTTAAAAGCTTAAGACAAATTGATTATCTTTTTCCTTTTTTACCCTTAGTACTAATTATCCGTGAAAGACTACAAACACCTCAATTATGGATAACTTTGTTCAAATACTAATGAAGAAAGATTAAATATTAAGACATGAATAAGAGTAAAGTAGTCAAAATCTCATCCTAATTAATTTTTTTAAGGAATGTGTGCAAGAGAATCATGACAGATAATATGAGACGAAGGGAGTACTACTTATTATTACCTCTATCCTAATCTATGTGACATAATTCGATGTACGACAGTCAAACTATTTAATTTTCGGTATAAATGCAAACATAAAACTTTCAACATCAGCAACAATATAATTCTACAAGTGAGGTCTGGGGAGAGTAGTGTGCAAGCAGAGGCGGAATTAGAATTTTTACGCGACGGGGCCATATTATTCTGCTCAACCAGTGTTTAGTATTCAGGGTGCTTTATATTAACCATTTTCAAGGTATATATATATATATATATATATATATATATATATATATATATATATATACATATATATATACATATATAATANTGTGCAAGCAGAGGCGGAATTAGAATTTTTACGCGACGGGGCCATATTATTCTGCTCAACCAGTGTTTAGTATTCAGGGTGCTTTATATTAACCATTTTCAAGGTATATATATATATATATATATATATATATATATTCGGTTGAAGTTTACGGGATCCAGTGATCTCTCACTCATACACATCGGTGTGCCTACCTTACCCCTACCCTGAATGTAGAGAAGTTATTTCTGATCAATGGAAAACATAAAAACTTTCAAAGTTTTTAAAATAAAACTTACATATCACTTAATAATTAATAAAATTATATAAAAAATTATTATAAGTCACGTAAAAAATTTCAATCAAAGAAGAACTCGACTTCAATTAATAATTGTGTTACATAAAGTGAATAGAGGGAGTAGTTATTAGTATACTAATTTAATTCCCATTATCAATAGGAAAAAGACATTCTTTTCTCTGCTCACTCTGCACTTCTCACTCACAGACTCAAGAACTCAAAACAACCCCACCTGTGCTTTTTGGTTGTTTTACTCATATTGTCTCTCACGGGCTCATGACTGATTAATCATTTATCCTTTTGCTGTGTAAAGACAACCATCTTGGCCTTCCTTTTTCTCACATTCCTTTGATTTTCTGGTGTTGTGTTCTATGTAAGTCTAAACTTTCTCATTTTTCCAGTGAAAATCTTGATATTAATGGAGACATTTTTTAGTTGTTACTACCTCCTTGCTGTTTAGTCTTTTTTTCTTAGTCCGAGCTGGGGTTACTCTCATTTGGCTCTGTTAGTTTGCCAGTCTGCTACTTCAGGTGTTCACTCTCTGTCCAATATGCTTTTATTGTTTCTGTGGTGACAAAAGTCTTGTAGAGGACATCTGATTTTCCTTCTATTGTTTGTTTGCTCTTCTTTCCTTAGATTGATTTTCTTATTCTGCAACATTTTTTTTTTTCCTGTCTAAGATCTTGTGTGTAGTACTTAATGTGCTCTAAAATGTGGTTAATTTACTTAAGCATTCAAAAGTTAGAATTATGAAGTCATTGGGAACTGATTTGTGAAGGAGAAAGAGGCGTTGCTTGGACATAGAGCATGTGCAAGCATAAGGACTGTTAATGAATAACTCGAGTTTCTAAGTATAAAAGGGCAGTCCGGTGCACAAAGTATCCCGCCTTCACGCCAGGGGCGGATGTAGTGCTTTACCGACAGGTTCAATTGAACTCATAACTTTCGACGCAGAGCAAAAATTTATATGTAAAAATTCATTAAAATTGCAAAAATAGTAGGTATAACCCATAACTTTAGAAATACAATGGGTTCAATGCTAAAACCCTTAAAAGTTGAACCCATAGGGTTTAAATCTTGGATCCGCCTCTGGTCACGCAGGGTTTGAGGAAGGGCTGCGCTGCAAGGTGGTGTGATGTAGGCAGCCTATCCTTATGTAAGTATTAATGTCTGATTCCACGGCTCAAATATGTGAAATCATTTAATTCTAGAAGTTCTACTAACTTGAAAATGCTACTTGGTTCAATTGCAATGTGCATGTGGGAAAAGGATAGAATGAAATTAGTCTAAATTTGGAATCTTTTGCTCTTATAATACAGCTTGAAGAGGTGTTTGGTATTCATTTTGTGCAGGCCTATATTGCTCAATTGAAGACCATTCTTTATCTGTGTTTCTAAAATCATGGTTTTGGGATTGAAGGGCAGAACTAGGAATAGCCCCTCAGTTCAAGTCGAATATCTAATCCATATTAAGGAGATTAAACCTTGGCCACCGTCGCATTCATTGAGAACGCTCCGTGCTGTTCTAATCGAATGGGAACACGAAGATAAGCACTCTGGATCTACTAATCAAGTTGTTCCATCGTCGGGAACTGGTTCTGGTATTGGTGACGGGAGAATTGAATTCAATGAGTCATTTAGACTTCCCGTGACACTACTAAGAGAAACTTCGCTTAAAGGTGGAGACGGAAACGCGTTCCAAAAGAATTGCGTAGAATTCCACTTGTATGAACCCCGGCGTGATAAGACCGTGAAAGGTCAACTTTTAGGAACTGCGATCATTGACTTGGCAGATTATGGTGTTGTTAGAGAGAGTTTGAGCATATGTCCCCCTATTAACTGCAAGCGAACTTATAGGAACACAGCACAGCCTCTTCTTTTCCTGAAAATTCAGATAGGTGAGAGGAGTCGTGTGAGGTCATCCTTGAGGGACAAGTTAAAAAGAGAAGCTTCAATGGACCGAAATGGTTCTCTTTCTAGATTACTGAGTGAAGAATATGCTGACGAAGCTGAGTTTGCTTCATACACTGATGATGATGATGATGATGTTTCCTCGCATTTATCAGTGCCTGTTTCTTCTTCAACTAACGAATCAAACTATGGTTCACCCCCTCAAGAAGAGGTATAGTGCTTACTTTTCTATCAATATCCCTCTTTTGTGCATTCATTTATATCTGAATGGTATTCTTCCTTTATGTTACTTCCAAAATGCATGACATAAGTCCTTTTGCAGCAATTTTGCATTCACTACATACTATGCATGGGCGGAGCCAGGGGGCGGAAGGGGGTTCATATATGTAGTAGATGTCGAATCCCCTTAACTTCTTTGTATGTTTACTTCTTTATAGTTATATAAGATGCAATGTCCACTGCCACGGCATGCATTTTAAATCAAATGCACTCTGCACAAGTTTGCATCTTTGTAACATTTGGTGATTGTATTATATTGTTTTTCCAATGTTATGAATATCTCAGCTAGTTTGATAGCCAGCTAGCATATGGTTGCAGGATAGATCCGAGGGAGTAAAAAGTAGCCCTCGACGAGATGAAGACGAAAATGTCCTTGATTATAAGAAAAGGCTTGCAAATATGGACGAGACGCCAGAGACAAAATCTCTACCTAGTTTGAATGGAAGTTTGTCGCACTCCTCAACTGATTTGTCCTCTGATCTGGCTTGGATTTCAAAGAAAATTGGTGGTTGTAGTAGCATTCAGTATTCGACATCAAATGTGAGTGATATAACTGAGGAGACACAGAATGCCTGCATGATAATCAAACAGGACAAGCAAGTACAATGTATGGAACAAATACCGGTCAATGGCGAAAGTGTTAATGAACAATCCAGTCGGCAGAACTCAGATCCAGCTGAAAAAGCCTGTCCTATTCCGCATATCACAGATGATAACAATAACTTTGTGAGCACAGTTAGTAATTTCTCCGATAGTGAAATTGAAGAGAACACTTCCACTCCACCTGTAAATTCGCTGTGTGATGATGCAAGAGCTGCGGTTACCAAAAATGGTTCTGTTGATGGTGAAAACAGTGAGGGTTATCAGCAAAATGAACAAGGAAAAGAACCTATGGAAGATGAAGGGCAATGCAAAAACGATGAGTCAATCAGTTGCTATTCAGAAGAGGATACTGTAAAACATGATTTGAAGGAAACTCATGCAATTTCTGCTTACAGGGACAGTTCCGGAGCAAAGAGTAGTACCCCCGATAATGAGATATTAAAGCATGTAATGTCAGTCAGGTCATCACCAGAATCAAATAGGGGTGACGGATCTGTCGGAAGTAATCAGCTTTTAGTACAAGACACTCTGAAAAGTGCTCGAGGTTTTTCAAGCAATGAGAGAAAAGATCAAAAAGCGAGTCCAAGGGACACAACAAACATTCTTTTGGAAAGCAAAATCCATAAGTTGGAGCAAAGAGTAAAGATGCTTGAAGGAGAATTGAGAGAAGCTGCTGCTATTGAAGTTGGCCTTTACTCAGTTGTTGCTGAGCATGGATGTTCCATGAATAAGGTCCATGCTCCGGCAAGACGCCTGTCCAGGTTCTATCTACATGCATGTAAAGAAACCTCCGTATTGAAAAGGGGAAGTGCTGCTAAAAGTGCTATTTCTGGAATATATTTGATTGCAAAAGCATGTGGACATGATGTTGCTAGGTACTTTTCAGTTTAAGGTTTTGCGGAAGGAAGTTAAGCTACATGCACAAGACAGTTATTTGTTTTTCTTCTAGATATTCACTTATTTTTTCTGACCACAGGTTAACTTTCTGGCTATCAAATTCAGTGGTGCTGAGAGCAACTATAACCAAATTCCATGGGCAGCAGCAGTTACCTCTTTCTACTGAAACTATGCTTGGAAATTCTGTTGTCACGGACAAGAAGAAGTTTTCCCCACTTAAGTGGGAATCTCACTCTAGCAACGGTGTAGAAGATGATATTTGTGATAGTTTAGGCAATTGGAAGGACCCTGTTACATTTATAAGAGCACTTGAAAAAGCAGAGGCTTGGATATTCTCCCGCATCATTGAATCTATTTGGTGGCAGGTGCACAAAATGAATCTTAAAGATGTCATTTATTGCTTTTGAATCTGAAGAATCAGTAACCTATCAGCTAACTCAACTCTGTTTTATTCATTTATTTATTTCTTCAGACTCTCATTCCACATATGCAGTCTGGTGCTGCAACCGCAATCTGTAATAGCATGGGTTCCGAGATAAACAATGTTTGCAGTAAGACGTCTAGTTCAGGTGCTGAAGAGCATGTAAATTTTTCCTTGGATCTTTGGAAAAAAGCCTTGAAAGATGCCTGTGATAGGATTTGCCCTGTTCGAGCTGGCGGACACGAATGTGGCTGTTTGCGTTTGCTCTCTAAATTGGTACAGTCTGGCCCACCCTTCCTTCCATATTGTACATGCTCCTATTTACGTAATCATAACATGTTATTATCTGTCTTTGTTTCACTTCTCAAGAAAATTTGACTACTAATTAAGTAGTTGTTAGTTCATATACTAATTAGTGTCATATGTTAAAAAAGACTACCAAACACGAACTTCCTTGTACTGAAGAAAAGTAGATTTGCTTATGTTAGAACCAGCATTTCCTGTCTTTCTTTGGATGGGTTTAATGCAGTTCAAACTATGATATAGATTTTGGTCCATTTTGCTGCTGATAAATGTTCTTGAAACCAGATAATGGAACAATGTGTGGCTAGATTGGATGTAGCTATGTTCAATGCTATCCTTCGAGAGTCTGCTGATGAGATGCCTTCAGATCCTATATCAGATCCCATCAGTGATGCCGAGGTGCTTCCCATTCCAGCTGGAAAAGCTAGCTTTGGGGCAGGTGCACAACTGAAAAATGCGGTAAGGATCATGGTTGAACGTTTTCAATTAGTGTTCTAAAATGTAGATATGATTGTTAGTCTGCTGCTTACCTTGACGGGTTATTTTGCCATTTGTCACTTCTCTCCCCTATTACCCCAAGAAAACAAACATTTTTTTGTTCATAGCAGATGTGCCATACTAATATTTAGACTTCCTTATTTCCAGGTTTCCAAATCCGACCCTTCGCTCTCCTTTATTTTTCTTCCCTCATTCTTTTACCAATTTTTACACCATATTAATTTTCTTTTAAGTCACATTCTGCAAACTCTAAGATAGTATTTATCCGTTGATTATATATATATATATATATATATA